TGACAGCAACTACATGCTCAGGTTTTCATCTGGTCACTCACCTTCATCTCTAATAATGCTGTTCACTCTTCATCACAGGACGGTTATGTTCGCTGTGAGAGGGAGCAGTGTTACACTCCCTGTAGAAACCCTACTGCTCCTCCTCCAAATACCTGCTGTCCAGTCTGTGAAGGTGGGCTTAATTGCTTTGTGTAAGAAGATTTGTATATTTGTTAGACTGTAGAGAGACACAATGTGTCTATTTGTGTGTCTTGTAGGCTGTGATGTGAATGGACATGAAGTCCCCAATGGAGCTGTGATCCCTGTTGGAGACCCCTGTGAAGAGTGTAGATGTGAGGTGTGTCTATAAGTTAACATTAGATTTGATTTTGATATGTGTAAGTGAATTAAGGATTATTTTGTTTGTTCTTTCTCTCAAAGAATGGAAATATGGTGTGTTCACACGTTTACTGTCCTGCTCCATCTTGTCACAATCCAGTGTATCATGCTGAGGAGTGTTGTCCACGGTAAGGAGCCTGCCTGCTGCGATCATCCATATCATATTTTAAGCCTGTAGAGTTCTTGTCCTTTTAAAATGTATTTAATCAATGTTTACATAAACCTGTAGATGTGAACAGTGTGAATATGAGTCCAAAGTGTATGGAAATGGAGAAAGTTTCACCTCAAAGAGTGACCCCTGCCTCCAATGCTACTGCTCTGTGAGTTTAGTCTGATAGTTATGGTTACATGATGTTCATGTGACTGAAAAATGGATCTAAATTTATTTGTCTTTCAGATTAGCTGTGATATATGTGACAACTAAGTGGAGAATTTGACATATACATTCAATATTTTTCTTTCTCTGTCTCTTAGGCAGGTGAAGTGTTTTGTAGAAACATGGCTGCATCATGTCCTACATCACACTGTACTCATCCAGCTAGGCACAGAGGAGAGTGTTGTGCCTCATGCAATGGTCAGTGTCAAAAATATGCGTCTAGTTCCCGCACATATTTCAACTTTTACAGAAACAACCGATCAGCTATTTGTGTTTGTTCTTCCAGACTGTCAGTATGATCAGAGGGTGTATGCTAATGGGGTAATGCTCAGGCTTCCTGGGAGTGGACCCTGTTTGCACTGCAGGTGTAAGGCAGGTGTATATAAAATGTTTTGTATCTAGTGCAAAAAAATCAGGCAAAGTGTGCGTTTTATGGCTTTTCCCACATCAGGAGACATATTTCTGCTTTCTTTGTGCTTTTTTCTTTTCTGGATTATAACACAGTTTGACTTCACACTTTTCATGCCTGTTAATATCATTGACAGTTCTTTTGGTGCTTCTGTTTTAGGGTGGGAATATAACTTGCCATGAGAAGAAGTGCCCTCCTGTCCACTGCTCCAACCCGATTACACATCCACATCTTTGTTGTCCAAGCTGCTAAAGAAATTTCTGACTCACACACACACTTACAGTGCATGTGCTGCTTACAAGTGAGTGCCCTATATGAAAACCTTCTCTTGCTATTGTAGCATGTATATTGGATGAGGTGGAATATGAAGACATCCCCAAAGACCCCTCTCATTCCGTTACCCACACCTTTCCAAAAATGTCAGTGTGAATTTGTGCTGTACACAGAATTGTAATTTTTGGATCCCCCGTTTTAGCCAACCTACAGAGACCCCGGACTTGGAGGTTTTGGATTTTTTTTTCCAGGATTCACATGTTTATTTTTAATCATATCTTTTTTTTTCTTGTTTTTCCCAGGGATGTTTTAGGAAGACCGAGGTTGGTGCCAGTATTCTTTTTTTTTTTTGTAAATAATAGCCTAACAGCTCTGGATCAGCATGAGGCTATGTGGCAAATCCTGACAAGAAACCACAGGGGGATGCCCAGCGGAGAGACTAAAATATTCCCCTATGTTTTGAGGGTAAATGGGAATCATATCACTGCAACTGGCTTATTTCACGTTGAACAGCCTGTTTGTTTTGTCTCACAACTGTGTATGTTTTTTTTATGGGTAAATCTTGTTTTATGCATTTCAGCATTTTCTCAAATCTTTTAGTAAACCTCATTAAACAGCATATCACATATATAGCAGTAATAGACATTTTAAGTCACATAAATTTCTCGTGTATTTGAGAAATGTCACATTTATCACACATCACTAAGACATCAGTGCCGATCAGTAAGATTTGAGTATTGATATAAGATGAGTACTCTAAGTGTGTGCTGAGATATTACTGTAAATTTTTATATATAGTTTTTCTGATTCCGAGTATGACAGAAGACAGATACCTTGTGGCAAAAGATGGGCTGGCTTTGAATGGAGTGAAGTACACAAGTCTGTGGGATCTCACAGGACACTCATCGGAGAAAGTGTTTTAGAAGAGATTGTACACAAGGAGAGAACTAGAACATGACAAATTTTCTGAATATCTGCCGCAGTACATCAAAGTGTAAAATTCTGCAATTTTATGATCCTGAGTGTTTGAGTCTGCATGCTTACTACAACAACGGCCAGGCTTTGCTGCTTGTCTATGCTATTGTTTTGCTATTACAAACAAAAAGTAAATCAGGCCTTCAAGCCCAGTTTTTGGTATTACCTATTCTGTATTTTGGGGCTAAACAGTAATCAGTAATCAGATACAGGGTACCTGCCAGCTAACGAAGAAGTCAAAACAGTAAGATAATGCCACCATCTGCTTCATTTCTTGTAACTATAACTTAGCCACAGTCCAAGTACAGTTGACATTGACTATACATAGAAAGGCTATTTCAGTTCACTAAAGTTAATCAGAGACATTTTTGAAGAAAGAAAAAGATTGACTGTGTTACTTCCTACTACTCAAAAACCACCAGATTCCAGTCAGGTTGCCAGAACCTTGGACCAGAAGTAGTACGATAACATAAGTATCCATAAAACATATTTCATCATCTCATCCAAGTCATTTATACTGACAGAGATTAAAGAGTTCAGACTGGCTCGTGATGTCATCAGTAAACGCTAAAGAAAAAGAGAAAAACTGTGTTACTTACGTAGTCAGCTACTTCCGTGCAACTGATATAAGATGCGTTAAGCTGAACACAGCTTCAACCGTCTGTTTGTTGAAAAATAGTAACGGACCGCATTTTCTTGTTAGTAACTGTAACGGCATTGTAACGATAGGAATAGTAATTAGATTACTTGTTACTGAAAAAAGTAACGCCGTTATTCCCATCACTGTATATCAGTCATGTGTTGTGTTGGCGCAGTCCAGGGTCACAGGAAACACTTTCCACACTCCAACTGTAACCACTCAGTGCACCAACATTGCTGCATGTAGGGATGGGAATCGAGAACCGGTTTCCAGCAGTCCGTTGTTGATTCTTGCACTCTCACTACAATCAGCTGATTCATGGGTCAGAGCATTACTTTTATTTTTATAGGAGAAATGATGAGAATGCAGTGGTAAAGTGGAGACAGCTCCAGGACAGAAACAGCTGCATCATACTGTTAACACAACTTTGGCTCTTTGCAAGCACCTGCACAGACAGCATGCTAACAAGTCAAAGCACTTGCCTCATTCACACAAGAACTTTTTGTAAGTAAAGAATACATTTAAAAATATCCCACTCACTTATTTTTTTTCCCCATCCTTATGTTCATCAGGATAGATATTATATTATCATTACAAATATCAATATTGTGTAAGTGATTAAGGATCAGCTTACTGTCACAATCTGGTAGTAGGAACTCAAGCGCAGAGCAGTTAGATGTCTCCAAAAACAGTTTATTTACAGCACCAGTGCATGATATATACAGTGAAGGGAAATCCAAACTCCAGGGAATCACGGGGAAGCTCTCTCACACCCGCTCACGTCTTCTTGCCCAAACTCACAAACGTTCACACGGCAGGGAAGTCACAGGTCCGGGGAGGAAAGTCTGTAGCAGAAGAAAGGGAAGTCACTCACAAATCACAGGTTCACAGAAGCTGGGAGAATCCCTAACGTCTGTAGTACAATTATCCAGCGACAAGAGGAACTGTGTTCCAGCTTCAAATAGTGCTCCTAGGTGATGACAGCTGATTGTTGTCAGGTGTGTGGGCCAAGGGCGGGAGCCCACAGTGAGCTCCGCCTAGGCAGAGAGAGAGAAAGAAAACCAAACAACACATGTAGCCTTGTGGGGCCGGCCAGGCAGGCACAGGGACCATGACACTTACATTCCCAGATCCATTTTTCAAAGCGTATCAGAAAATTCTCTACTCTCTGTCTGTCTCATCTCAGTGTGCATGCTAAATAGACAGGAGTTCAGTAATGGGCAGGCATGGACGCTGGGTTCCTCTTCATATTTGAACACTACTGAAGTGATGGTCTATTTTCACATGTTGGTGAGGTGCAACTCCCGAGTGTCTTAAGTTCCTTTTTTTAGGTGTTGTTTGTGTCACCTTTTTTAACTGAGTAGTCAAAAATCAGTCAGATCAACAGTAATCTGTCATCCAAGGTCAAGTAAAAACAAATTTGAGAATCTACTCATGTTGGGTTCAGTTAGGATTGTAAGAAGACTGGCAGTGGTAACTCAACTTAAAGAAGGAAAAACCCTCCACTCAGAATGAGACACTGACAACAACTTAAAGGGAAAAAAAGTGATTTGAGTGTATTCTACATTTAAATGGTCCAAAACATAGACATGAACAAAACATTTAAATAATTTCAAACATGTAATCTTCAACAATGTACAATATATCACTTAAAGTGTCCATAAATGTATTAGGTAGCTGTCCTTTCAGTTCAGTGCACTTAGTATCCAGTGCTCTTAGTAAATTATTTGGACTGTCTTTGGTCACGGGTTTGCTTTTTCATGCAATCAGTTTTTGTGTTAAGTGGAATCAGATCTGTACGGTGGCCCTGAGAGGCCAAACGGACTGCAACTTCAGAAAACACTTGCAAAAAGAAAAATGCTGCAAAAAGGAAAATGCCTGCAAAAAGAAAAACGCTGCAAAAGCACACACAACACAACGGAAATGTTTCTGGGGAGACAATAACCCAACGACCAGTTGCACGAACCAAAACATGCTAACAAGTGCACTGGGACTGGGAGACACTTCAAAGAAGTGGAAGCGGGCGGCCAAAGAGTAAACTTTCAAAAGTAAGTTCTGAATATTATGTCACTTATTTATGTGCAAATGTTTAATTAAAAGAACTATTAAAACATTACTGTTGGCCACATGCCGGCAAAGTTATGTGACATTAGCGATGTTTGTACTTTCAGCTGTTTACTTTGTTTTAAAGCCTTTACTTTATACGCCGTTAGATAGTTGACCTTAATCTTACAGAGAATGAATGATTTTTGCGATAATTAAAGTCAGTCATATATCCACAAACACGACAAGCTGAAAGTCAGTGATGCTGCTCGGTTTGCAGTCCTGAATATCACGGCACAAGCAGGATTCACTGAATATATGTATAAAACAGTTGTCACAGTGTTAGCTTTATTACACTGATATTTTTTTGAGACATTAAGTGAGATTCTGGGTGTGCCATAATTGTACCGACACAAATGACAAGATATTATCTCATGTGCATGTGTGTCATAAACATTATTAAAATGTGTTTGTGTGACACCCTTAGAATAAACTTGCACTATCTCACTTGCCGGATATCTTTATTTTGTGGAGCACTTTGTTTCTCTTCTGGACTTTTATGTTTTTGTCTTTTTGATATTTATCATTTAGATTTTTGCTGATGTATTTGCTGATTTTGATTTTCTCATTACAGCCTCTACATTGCCCATTTTGAATCTTGTTCACTGTGAGTTTGTGTCTCACAGCTTACTTGTCTTCTGAGTTTTCTGTTTAACTTGGTTAATTATCAAGTCTTTGGTGTGTTGTCTGGGGCTTACTTCCCATTCCTAATTACTGTAACTATGTTCAGCTGTTTCTCATTCCTTTCTCTGTTCTGACTTCCGCAATTAGCTTTTAAGTACAAGTCTTTTTTTTTTTACAAGTCCCCTTTTTGTTGTCCTGAGTGCACTGATTAATGGACTTTAGGTTGTTTTCTTTTTGTTTTTTTTTAAAATAAAAATTACTGCCTTTTGTTCTGTCTCCCTCCCACATCCGGTATTTGTGTCCAAGCAATCGAAAAAAAAATAAAGAATGTCAGCAAAGGTTCCAGTGATCAGTGCAGTGTTAAATAAATTTACAGTCAGTTTGATTAATCAAAGTTAGTTAAGCTTCAGCTCCTCATAACAAAATCAGTAGAAACAATAAAAACAGAAAAACACAGAACTGATTTAAAAATGATGCAAGGCTTTCCCTTTTGAATTAGATTTGACTGCATGTATCAGGTTTGCCAAATGGCAGCTAATAGGAGCTAACTGCAGGAGTTCCTGCTATTAGAGCCAGTGAGTTTAGGACAATGTTTGTTTATAGTGCCAACAGTCCAAACAAAATGGGATTCCTCCCCAAACACACATTTTCCATTTCCTGAACACACAAGGGCTGTGTCCCAATTCAGGGTCTGCACGCTTGAAGTACGCGCACTACGCGTACTACGCACGGTGCGTACTATAAGTACGAGAAGTGCGGAAGTGAGAGGCTTGTGAAATGGGACGGTATACGCTTAGTCGTGCTGCTCAGGTTGCCTAGCAACCATGATACTAACCGCGAGACACGTTACATACAGCATTGTTTGACAGAAATGAAGGAGAAAAATGTTTTGTTAGTCATTCATTTTTGTCATGACATCACTGTTGGCAGAGGTATGAAAATGCACAGGAAAATCCGACGTGCATGGCAAACTTCATCAACAGCATTTAGGGAGGAATAAACACACATCAGCCTTCGGCCATTTTTGATGAACGCATACGCCCCCTAGAGCGCGCTAACTTTATTAACAGCCACACAAATGTAAAGCACACATCAAACATAAATAAACCATTTGACTG